TTGTAGTAAAGCAGGCTGGCTAATTATACTGGTGAGCAAATTATGTGAGGATGCAAATTGTGCGAGTAAATATGGTATGTACTCTTGTATGTTTCAGCTCTATTGCTACGGATCCTGCAGATCCAACTTGGCATCCGGCAGCAACAAAGAGAGGTTCTGCAGGAGGTGCGACAGCTGAAGCACGAGGTACGGCTCTTGTCCGTGCCTCAGCACGCCCAGCCAGCACAGCGCCCCTCTGACCTTCCCCGGCTGCCTGCTGGTACAATTGGAGAAGTGGAGGCAGCAGAGGCAGCTGTGCAGAGTAAAGCTGTGGCTGTGGCTTTGGTATATATTTCTTGATTTTTAATATGCCTATGTAACATGCAGAAATTTAGTACTGCTTTAAGATACTGTGTTTCGGGAAACAAACTAGTCAGGTTATCTCATGAGCCACTGTACTACAGTTGAATATGAATAATTCGTACTCAAAGAGGCCAGAAAATTTGTTCAAATTAAAAGAAGTTCAAAATAATGAGTTACCGTAATTACTTGAATCTAACACGCACCTTTTTTCCGGTTAAGAGAGTTCATAAATCGCATGTGCGTTAGAATCGAGTACGACAAAAAAAATGAATATGGTCGTTCTATTGCCATCGCCACTTACAAAATGGCCGCCCCCTACGTGCGTCGACATGGCGCGTCGGTCATTTCTGCCTATGTGTTTCCCATGCGCGGCACTTCATACGTGTGCTGAGGAGTTCGTCATCTTGTAGTACATTAGCATCGACGGCATGGTAGGGCCGACTCCAAAAACTCGACGAGTGCACCACAATGCTGCTTCTAAAAGAAAAGTCGTCGCGTGTGCCGGAACGGACAGAAATCGGGCCGCATCGCGGTCATTCGAAGTTCCCGAAACGTGCGTGTGGTACTGGCGGAAACAAAAGCAGAAAATTGTCGACAGCAAAGATTCACGCAAAGGCTTCAGTGGACCACAGCAGGGTCGGTTTCCACAAATTGAAGAGCTGCTCGGCGAGTATGTGATTAAGCAGTGAGCGGCACAGCGGCCCGTGACGACAGAACTGCTCCAAGTGCAGGCTATGCAGTTAGCCTTAGAAAAAGGGCTAATGCAGAGCCATTTTAAAGCGAGCAGGTGCTGGCTAACGAACTTTATGAAGAGAAAAGGCTTTTCCCTCCGAAGGCGAACGGGCATATGCCGGAAGTTGCCGGAGGAGTACGAAGAAAAGCTTCAGAGTCTTCAGAGGTTCCTCCTAAACTTGCGGCACAACAACGGCTACCTGCTTTGGCAAATCGGGAATGCCGATCACACGCCTCTTTACTTCGACATGCCTGGCACCACAACCGTCTAGGAGAAGGGGGCGAAGCAAGTTTGTGTACTGACATCGGGCCACGGTAAAACTAGAGTGACAGCAATGCTCTGTTGCACGTCAGATAGGCATAAGCTTCCCCCGTACTTCATATTTAAACGGAAGACGCTCTCAAAAAGAGTCGTTTTCGCGAGTGGTGTGATCAAGCGGGCCAACGAGAAAAAAGGGTGCGCGTTGCAACCGATGTCTTAGTTTTTTTTTTTTTTTGTCGTGGAAATTGGGTGCGCGTTACAATCGAGGGCGCGGTAGAATAGAGTAAATACGGTAAACGAGCGGAGGGCTCACCATGCAGTAATGCATGTGCATGGAGTTTTATTCACAAATTACAGGACATCGATCATTAATTAGAGTAGTCAATACATGTCTGTACACGTTGGCCTTGCAACGAGTCAACAAGTTTTGCGTGCAGTTTGCAAAGCATTTGTACTTCGGCTTCAGTATTCTCCTGGCAAAAGAAGTTGCGCGCGGCAATGTCCAGTGCTGACACTCTTCGAAGACAACTGTGTTTCCACTGTTACCATCTGCGCTGCAGCCGGAGCGTGGCCAGCGCATGATGAGAATGGAGGAGCGTCTCCACCTGGAGAAAAGCAGATCGGCATTCGAGAGAGAAGCACTCCGCGGCAGCTTTTTTTTTTCTCTCTTCATGCGCGGTGTTGAAAGGAGAAGAGTCTCTACATAGCAGGGACGGAAAACAGGGAAGCGTGACACCGGCGCATTGCAGATTGGCATGAGAGAGCCAACTCTCTGCGACAGCTTTTTCTCCCCTCTTCCTCTTCATGCGCAGTGTTAAGTGGAGAAGGGTCTCTACGTGGCAGGGACGGAAAAAGCCGAAGCGTGGCACAGGAATGTCGCAGATTGGCATTTGGCAAACATTCCACCGCAGTCTTTTCTTTCCTTTTCTTCATTTTCTTCTTCAAGCACAGCGATGAGGTGTCTGAAGTGCCACCGCAGGATTGGGCGGGGTGCTGAGAGCATTTTCGGAGCGCGGTATAGCTTTGATAGGAGCACAGCGTCAGTTCGAATTAAGTGTGTTGGAATTAATGAGATTTGACTGTATTTACTATAGTCTGTGAAGTCCGAGTGAACTGTCCTAAGCTAGCAGACGATGTAGGCGGCATCGTGTGTTTGATGGGCAGTGACTAGCAATAGCCTGCTTAAAACAGACATTCAGTAATTTTGTTAATTTATCACCCTATTTCGTGTCCGCTGCGGCTCCCTCTACTTTGAGCTACAGTTCACCCTGCCTTGTGTTAGCCGATTTCTTACTTTTTTAAAAATCTAACATGCACCCAATTTCGCAGTGTGAAGAAAAATGCACCTTTGTTTATTGTGATGAGATTTCTATAGCGACATGCCTCTTTGTTGGCTATCACAGAAAAATATAAACAGCAAATGGTGCGACCATCTAGTGCGACCTTTATTTTTCTATCAGTTTCATCTATGACCAAGATTTGGTCGCTCTAAGGTTGCCTTTTAGTACGCCTTGATCATGTTCATTTATCTTGTTGTGCTCTGCTTACAATGCATTTGATTAAAAACATGTCCAAGCTTCTTTTTGAATTCCACATATTTTATCGTTTTTCACGTGTAGAAGCTACTCCTGGTCAACATTCAGGCAAAGACATTGTAACCTCGAAGAAACGTGTATAGGAATTTGAGCACTGTGCAAAGTAATTATACTATTTCATAGCTAGAATCAATATTTATTAAGGGTTATAACAGTGTTGTATTTGATTTCATAACAGCGAAACTGCATTCAGAGAAGGACTCTGAAAGGTTCTCACACTGAGTGTGAGAGGGCTGATGTGGAAACCATTTTAGGTCAAGTGAGTTGAAGTTAGCGTAAAAAAACAATGAAATGTTATGATGCCCAAATATTCAAGTTGTTGTTTTCAGTGTCCTCTTCTTGCAGATTTTTATCATGAAAACATTTCGATGTGCTGTTGCGTTTACTCCATCTATGCTTCTTGCATTTTTTTACAGCGCAAGCACCTCCTGCAGATTGGGGGACGTGGCCTCCGAGAAATTGGTGTGAATGCCATGAAGGCTGTATTGGCACATGACGTGCAAGTGCTGTACAGCCTTCATGGCAGAAAAGGGAAAAGGGCCTTTGTGAACCTGAGGCTCTGTAGATTAGTGACAGGTTAGACTTGTTCATTGTTTTGTGTGTGTGTACCCTTGTGTATTCTCTGTACTGCAGTGCTTCATGTGTACTATGGTATTTCTGTTCTTGTATGCAGATGTCATCTGCCAAAAAGCAGGGTGCGCCCAGGCGGAGGCCCTCAACTTTATTAAGAGGTGGCTACCAGGGTCTGGTGATCGCTGTGGGGGCAGGAAGCGGCGCTTCAGAGAAACATTTGTTGTGGAGCAGCCCGATGATCCCCACTCTCAGAGTGCAGATTATCGGCTGCTCGCGGCAGCTGGCTTTCTGCCCAGCCACAGCAGCCAGGGTCTTGACAGCACCACTGTCACTGTGTCCCCAACGCAACCTGACCTGCAGTAGAGCGGGCCTTTTTTTAGTTGTGTATATATATTTTTCAATGTATACATTTTTTTGTTGTATTAAATAAATAAAAAAGACAAAGAATAAATAGTCTGCAGACTGTCGGTGGTGCAGTGTTCGGCTAGCTTATGCTGATTCGGAAGCACCATCACCATGTTTTAGTTACAAAAAAATGCTCTAAACTATGAATATTATCGATTACCATGTGGGGGACATATGTGGGGATTGCAAGTGGGGGACATACGCTTTCAGCATTTACTTCCTAACGACTTTTTTCGATCTGCTGTACCAAATACCAGTACCAAATAAAGCACTCGCTATTGCAAAAGATAAATTGGTAAAAAAATAAACTACACTTCTAGTGTTAGCAAAGGGAATGAGGTATAAAAGATGAAATAGATCGAGTAACTGCTTTCAGTTCTCGGCATTCAATTTTCTGTTGCCCCAAGTATACAGGGCTGCAAAGCTACAAGAGCGGGTCATCGAGGCATATTGTTTAAATCTTTCGGTAAGAAAAATTCCCTACTAATAATGGTTACATAATGGCAAGCCAATCAGTAGCCAATATTCGTCGTGCAGGAAACATCGGTGTAATAACGGCATTCGATTGGCTGCAATCTGGCCCTGGATTGGTCCAATGTCGGTCGTACATCCGTAGCCAATATTCGTCGTGCAGCAAACATCGGCGTAAAAATGGCATGTGATTGGCTGAAATATGGCCCGATGTTGGCCGAACATTGGCAGCTTTGTCGGCAATACGATGGGCCTTCGTCGGCCCAATGTTGGTTGCATACTGGCTAAAACATCGGCAAAACGTCGGCCCATCATTGGCTTGAACGTCGGCCCGACATTGGAAGAAGTTGCACTTCCGACGTCGGCCCGACGTCGGTGCCGATGTTAGCCGATGTTGGTCCAAGATTGGTCCAACGGCGGCGTGCTGCCTGGGATAGCGGTTGCGCATTTATTTATTTAATTATCGCTGTTCCGTTGCATTTTCCAATGCCTGCTTCCGCGATGCATTCTAGATCCGCATTTCTTTATCAAGCATCTGCGTTCACCTGCATAAGTGTTTCACTCAGGAGATACTTTGCCAAAATTCTTGTATACACACATAACAAACAAAATTCTCTCGATGCCGAAACCCGGGATCGAACCAAGGACCTTCAGATCTTCAGTCTAATGCTCTCCTATTATAGCTACTTCGGCAGATAGGAGGAGAGTGAAACCAGGACTTAACAGTTGTTGTGTTTCGGTAAAAGTGTCTTATTCTAGCTGTTGCGCAATATTACTTTTCCTTCTCTTTGTTCTGTTACCTTTTGCAACGCTTTCTGCCGCAAAGCATTATGAATTAGCTATTATTTATCAAGCATGTGTGTTGACCTGCATAATTGTTTAACTTATGAGATGTATTGCCGAAAATTGTATACTGACAAAATTGAAAAAAAGTGCTTTGGATGCTAAAACCCGGGATCAAATCAGGCACCTTTCGATCTTCCCACTAACGCTCTCCTAACATAGCTCTTTCGGCAGATTGGAGGATATTGAAACCAGGACTAGTCGGTTGATGTGTTTTGCTAAAATGTCTTATTACAGCTGTTCCGCATTATTACACTTTATTCTCCTTATTCTGTTACATTTTGCAACACCTTCTGCCGCGATGCATTAGGAATTAGCATTTCTTTAGCAAGCATGGGCGCTCACCTGCATGGCTGTTTCCCTCGTGTGATGTATTACGAAATTCTTTTGTACCAACAAATTTAACAAAAAAGTGGTAAGGATGCCGCAATCTGAGATCGAGCCAAGGACCATTAGATTGATTGATATGTGGGGTTTAACGTCCCTAAACCACCATATGATTATGAGAGACGCCGTAGTGGAGGACTCCGGAAATTTCGACCACCTGGGGTCCTTTAACGTGCACCCAAATCTGAGCACACGGGCCTACAACATTTCCGCCTCCATCGGAAATGCAGCCGCCGTAGCCGGGATTTGAACCCGCGACCTGCGGGTCAGCAGCCGAGTACCTTAACCACTAGACCACCGTGGCGGGGCGAATTTAGCTTTCCCAAAGCACCGAATTTGTCTGCTGTGTTTGTTAGAAGTTGAATAGTTGTCCTGAACACGCTACTGAAGCAAACATACATTGTACCTATATAAGCCTAAACGATAGTTGTTATGGCCTTATGCCTAAATGGAAGTTTTTAGGGACTATTTTAGGCACCTAAAACATTCTTTTTTGTGCCTAAAGTTCCGTTGTCTACATATAAGTGTTATGCTTAGGCCAAGTTGGCTTGTAGTATGTTGAAATAAATAAACAAATATGGGCAAGTCAACAAACCAACCAATTCTCTCAAAAGACAGACAAAAAAAGAAGAAAAAAGCCTTAAAGGGACCCTGATACGGTTTTCAGCGATTTTTTACAAGCCCATCGGGTCGGTAGAGTAACTCCTAAGTGTCGCCCCACCGCGGTTGTCTAGAGGCTAAAGTACTATGCTGCTGACCCGCAGGTCGCGGGTTCGAATCCCAGCTGCGGCGGCTGCATATTCAATGTAGGCGGAAATGTTGTAGGCCCGTGTGCTCAGATTTGGGTGCACGTCAAAGAACCCCAGGTGGTAATGCTAACCAAAAAAGATTTTGAGTTTTGGGAACAGATGGTAGTCTGAAGGGGCCAAGGCAGAAGAATAGGGTTATGCTTCAATAATTCCTTCTTTGAATCAAGCAATTCAGCCATCGCAAGATGCCGTTTGTGTGCCAATGCATCGTCTTGATGAAAAATCATTTTCTTGTTCTGCAAATCCGATGTTTTCTCACGAACTTTCTGATGCAATTGAGCTAGAAGGCCAGAATTCTCTCCAGGTATGGTTTACCCATTTTGAAGATAATCCCCTAGCGGACTGTCTTAAGCGCCTCAAAATATGAAGGTCATCACCTATCTTGCGAAGGAAACTTACGTCTTTTAGTACAGAAGACACAGCGTCAGTCCATTGCATTGATTATTGATTCGGGTATAGAAGGGTCAATGCAACTTTCATCCATTAGTATAAATCTGCAAAACAACCGCTGGATTTTTGTTACACAACTCCAAAGCATGCTATGACATTGCTATAGCATGCTTTGCGTTCTTGCTTTGGAGGTTGCGTTCTTGCTCAGGAGTAAGGATGCACGGCACCCATATTGCACAGAGCTTGTCCATGTGCAGTTCATTTTGCAAGATGTGACACGTATTCCGCGGAGATGCCAACAGCCTCGGAAATTTGGCACTTCACTCTCCTGTCTGCCAAAACCATTGTGCATATGATCAATCAATTCAGAAGTTTTTGCACTTTTTGGGCGCCCTTTTCTCGGGTTGTCTTCAATGCTCTCTCTTCTCTGCTTAAACGCAGCAGCCTCTTCTTGTTTGTGGAGTATAAAGGTGAATTTGCTACTAAACATTTACAAAGCTTCAGTCCATTTCAATTGGTCAATCTTCCTTTGAAAAGAGTTTTATGACTGCAAGGTACTCGACCTTCTTGATACCTTGTGGTGCTTCACTCTGCATCTACTTTATTCGACTGTCAAAACCAAACTACGGATCAGCACTAGATGGCAATTCATCTGACACTTGCAGAGACATTTATGAACATGCACATGAGTCCGGCATGTTCTATGTAGTTACATGTATGCTTTTAGGGTTGAAGATGTCAGCTTTTCTTTGCTGCGGCTGGTTGTTGTGGTATGGGTGGCATGACCCAGTCATAAAATGTCGCCTTTGACCGGGTTCCTTTAGTGTGTTGAAGCTGATTCCAGTTTGCTATAGTTTTCAGGAAAAAGCTATTCTTTAATGCCCTAGTTTCTGTAAAAATTGCTTTCAATTGATAAAGTTAAGTGTGTCTAGTTTATTGCAATGTAAAGGGATGAAGTTATGGGAAATCATTTATGATCAAGCTACCAGCCAATGTATCACCAAGGTATTTTATACAATGAAACTACCTTTCGCTGTGCCTAACGAGCTTTTCGGGTTTCATTGCTTATTCACTTATTTATGTAATGCAATATCTTCTGTGCCATTGAGGCTTTCACTGTCTTGCTGCAATGCTGTAAATGGGAGTAATGCTCAATTGTAGCTGCATCAATTGTTAATGCATTTAATGCAGCACTGGTCCTGTCGGTTATTTCTTCGTCATAAGTTGTAGTTCGCGCTGTTTTAACCTTTTACCATGTTTTACCAACTAGTCCGACAAAACACTTCTGCAATGCAATGAGTGTTCGGAGTGACAAAATTGGCTTGCAGCATGATTATGAACAATTATTCTATAAAAGTTATTCTTCATATACCTTGTTTATATGGGCAGTTTCTTTTAAGTATTTCGTAGTTAGAGTTTCTGATTGGTGTATTGTTAGAAAATTTTTTGATTTTTATTCTTGAATGCTAAGGAACAAAGTTTCCAAGGTTGCGACCTCTACTAGTCAACAACATTGTCTTTCGTAACTCCGTCTTCAGAAGTGCCACTGTTATTACCATTTCGGTTAATTTTTTCTTCAATGTGCAATAAGTGTGTGCAATATATTTGAAATAAATTTCATTTCACAAATTAATAAATACTTGCTTTCGTTTGAATTTCTATATGGCAAACCTTTTGTGCATTGCCACGCATAAAAATCAAGTAAAGATTCTGAAAGCTGCTTATATTTCATGTATGCTAACAAATACTCACAGATTATCCTTCATAACCTCAGTTATACATACAAAAAGTTTCATGGTTCCCTGCGAAACTTCCCTGATGGATCTAAACATATACCCTCATGGCTGCATGCTTGCAGAACCTCCCCGATGGATGCAAAAATATACTCCCATAACTGCCTGCGAAACCTCCCCGATGAATGTAAACATTTACTCCCATAGCTGCACGAGAAACCTCCTCGATGGAAGTAAATATAAATTCCCAAAGTTGCCTGAAAAATCTCTCTGATAGATGTAAATTTAAACTCTCATAGCTGCCTGAGAAACCTCTCTCATGGATGTAAATGTAAACTCCCATAGCTGCCTGAGAAACCTCTCTGACGGAAGTAAATATAAACTCCCATAGCTGCCCGAGAAACCTCTCTGATTGATGTAAATATAAACTTCCATTGCTGCCTGAGAAACCTCTCTGATGGATGTAAATATAAACTCCCATAGCTGCCTGAAAAACCTCCTCTATGGAAGTAAATATAAACTCCCACAGCTGCCCGAAAAACCTCCCCGATGGAAGTAAACATTTACTCGCATAGCTGCCTGAGAAACCTCCTTGATGGATGTAAATGTATACTCCTATAGCTGCCCCAAAAAACTCCCCGATGGATGCAAACAAAAACTCTCCTCATTCCTTTAAAAAGCCCTCCTAGAGGAAGTAAATTTTTACTCCCTATGGACGGAGTTTTTAAAAACCCCATCTGGGCGTGCGCTAGAAAACAAGTCAATTACTCCCATCTTGGCTTGTTTTCGTTTACAGTGTATGTCAGTATTATGCCAGGTTTTGGTAAGGGCGACAAGATTACATTCCATGGTATCAATAAGGTTGCGAAGTCAGTCACACTTCGGCTTAACACTAAGGATATTAGTATAAAAACATGACAAGCAAGTAGCATTCGGAAGTTCCTTAGTTATGATTGGTGGCTACATCCCGCAGGAATGACACTTTGAGAGCTGCTGTCGAATACATACATTGTGTTCCCGATCACAAGCTTGTCGTGGCAAAGCTTGAAGGACTTAATTGGGATTTGGCAAACTGTTGCAGATTTTTACGGTCTCAGCGAGTGTTTGGGGAATAGCCTTCGGAGATACTGAAGAGCGTATCTTTGAGGCGATTGGCGTTGGTTAGGATAGAGTCTTTAACTTTAAAGTGGAGAAATTTAACAATCACAGGCCTGTTGTTTCCGGGAACAAATTTCCCAAGTCTCAGTGCACGCTGGATGTCTTTATGTGCCACATCAAGTTTCAGGTTTATATTGCAAAGATCAGTTATCGCACAATGTGACTGCGCGCAATTCTCATTTGAGTTGTCGGCTACACAAAAAATAACAGATTTGATTGCTGTGCCCTGTCGTCGGAATCATTAATTCTTGCAACTAAACTGGCAAGGACTGACGCGTTGTTTTCTGCAAGGGTTGGGGCAGTTTGAACCTCAGTTTTAACGTTGTTTAATAAAGAGCATTCTTCCTCAATCTTGAAGAGTCTCCGTTTAATT